GGGCCGGGGCTGCGCGCGGCGCCGCCGGGACGACACCTGCCTCGCTCTTGAAGAAGCGGTAGATGACACCGCTGAGCGCGCAGCTCACGTAGCCCTCGKCCGCCTCYGCGTCGTGCAGGAAGCGCACGCTGAGGGGCACCGAGTCCTCGCCCAGGTCGAAGCACTGCACCAGGGACTGGCACGACAGGTTCCACACGTTGAGGCGGCGCCCGAAGACCCCTGCATCGGGTCGGGGGGACGGACACGTCACCAGAGGTGGCACTCGGCCCACGGGCTCCTCTGCCAGGCACCAAGGGAGCCTCCCGGCTSCGGCTCCGTGCCCTCACCTTTGTGCAGGTCCTCGGGATTAAAGCCGTATCCCGCCCGCCGGGGGACGAAGCCGGCAGAGCTGACGAGGACGTTGTGGCGGGGCTGCAACCAGAAGTCGTGGCCYGTGGGGGGGGCTCCGCCCTGGACCTCCCAGTTGCCCTTCAGGTCGAAGGTCTCTCCATCCAGGACGACGAAGCCACCTGGAGCAGAAGGGAAGAGCCCCGGAGGTGACGCCCTCGGTGCCCGCGCGGGTGTCCGGGTGCTGGGCGCTTCCCTCGGGAATCCCGCACGCTCGGGCAGGGAGGTCCTGCCTCGGCACCCGCGGGAGCGAAGGCTCCCCCAAGAGCGCTGGGGCCACCGAGGTGTCTCGCAGCCTCCCATTTGGGCAAAAAGGCTTCTTTTTCTGATGAGAATCCCCCCGTGGCATGACTACAGGCGGGCTTACCGTTTCCATTGCCCGCTGCATCTCCCATGTTGGCAATGAGAACATCCCCGTTGGGCAGGGCATGAGGCACTGCCAGGTGGCCCTTGTCACACTTCCAGAAGACGTCCACTGGCTCGATGGTCTGCCCAAGAGAAGGGTCCAACACGCTTAGCAAAGGAGACCAGCCCGAGGAGCAAGGAGCAGGGGCTGCAGGACGCTTGCGAGGTCTGCAGAGCGCCAGGAGCTGGGGAAGCCAGGCTCCGCTGAGGAGAACCCTCCTTCCTCGAGTCTCCGKGCASAGSCCCAGCTCCCACCCGTCCCCGGAGCCCCCGGCAGACCTTGTAGAGCGTGGGCGCGTGGCACTGCGTGCCCACGTCCACCACGTAGATGCGGCTGGAAATCAGGGACGGGAGGATGAGCTTCCTCCTCCTCCTCGCGCAGTCCTGAAAGCAGGAGTCGCCCGCGCTCCAGCCGGAGCAGTGCAGCTCGTCCTTGAGGTTGGGCACGGGCAGCCGGTGGATCACCTGGATGAAGGGCAGGAGCAGAGGTCACTG